ATATATCTGGAGGATACATTTCCAGGAATGGCTGGGTTAAGGGTCCGTGCACTTGAATTTTGGTAGATGCTGTTGATTTGCCCTCTGCAGAAGCTACACCAGCTGATTCTGACTATGGCCACATCAGGGGGTGGTGTTACCCCACAGGCACCCAGGGATTCTGCAAGCCTGTAAATCCCTGCTAATCTGATAGATGAAAACGGTGGTTTTTATTTTGCTGCTCTTAGGAACTACTTTTTAGCATCTTGTCATACATGTAAGATCCATGTGTCTTTCTTTCTCTGTAAACTGTTGCTTTATCTCTCCTACCCACCCTCTCCCCCCCATCAGGGAATGGGTTGACTTCTATGAGCTCCCTATGCATTAGGGAGATTAGTCCTTTGTCTACGCTATAAGTTGAAAATATTCTTGTCCAATTTTTCATCTGCCTTTTGACTTTGCTTGTGTAGTTTTGACCACATGGAAGTTGTTTTTCATTTTAATGTATAGTCCAATGTTTGTCTTTTCTTCATCATAGAAATGTCTTTCCACTCCAGAGTTGCATAGTAGACCTTAATGATTTTTTGCTGGGACCTTTATGGTTTTCTTAAATACACTGAAATCTCTGATTTATTTAAAATATAATTTTTGAGGGGCAACCCTAGTGGCCTAAGGGTTAAGTCTCAGCACTATCACCACTACAACCTGGCCAGGGAGCTGCCCCACAGGGCACAGCAGACCTCTCCTGCCTCCCCGCTGCTCCCCTCAGCAGTGTATTTCAGAAGATCTGCCTGTTCTGCTCCCCACTGTCTCTGGTGAATCCTCTCAACCCCTGAACCTCTGGCCTGCTATTCAAAAAATAAAAATTTTAAAATAAAATATAACCTTTGGTAGGAAAGGAGTGGTGTATGCAACCCCATTTTCCCTCCGATCACCTCCAACCTTCTTGAGCTGCTCTAACCTTGGCCTCCCAGCTCTGAGTTCTCTCCCACTTCTGTGTCCAGCTACTCCACAGTCTCCTTCCTTCCTCTCTACTTTGCTTTCAAATGCTGGAGCTCAGCATTTGGGGTCATTCATCCTCTCAGGTTTTGACACCACAGGCCAAGTCCCATGTTGTGCCACTGTCTACCTACCGGGCATCTCTGCTTGGATGCACCAGATGTAACAAGCCCAAGTCTGACCTCATCAACCCTGCAGCTCCCAGGAACCCAGAGGGTCCCACAGGGCTGGGAACCCTCATGCTTGAAGCCTAAGAGTCGCCTTTCACTCCTCCACGTCTCTCTTCCTTCATCAACCCACCAACTTGACTTCCAAAGCCCACCTCAGCTCCACCCGCTTCTTTCCATCCCTCTCCTTCTGCTACCACCTACGACAACATCACTCTTGGCTTGGCCTATGACCACACCCCCCATTTGATCTCCCTGAATCCACGCTTGTCTTGGCAAACTTTTCAACTACAAATCTGATCACGTCACTCAAACGCCACACCCCCATGCTCTCACATGAGTTCTTCCAATAGCTCTTAAGACAACGTCCAAAATCATTAATAGGAGTAGTTTTTCAAGCTGAGACAATAAAGACCCTCTACCAGAGGCAGGAAGGCTGCAATGAGGCGGTGACATGCACAGTGCCCCCCAAAGAGCAAAGGGGGTGTTGGGTAAATATGACAGAGCTCCCAGCAGAGGAACTGTTACAGGGCACCCCAGTGTGAACTGGGCTGCCTTTCCGTGGGTCCTCCCTCACCCATTGTGCACTTAAAATTTAGTTGTACTGCAGGCACACACAAAAGGGTCAATAATGGGTTTATTTACAAAAGGGGAAAGGAAAAGGAACAACCCAGGGAAAGAGAGAGAGGTACAAGGTAACTAGAATATCTTAGTGGCTCCGCTGACTTGGAGCTTTGGTAACAAACTAACTGATAGGCCCCAGAGCCACTGCATGAGCCAGAGAGAACTAAAGAAAATGGCGCCCTATTTATCCCCCAAAGTCCCAGAATGCCTGCTTAGCTCCGCCCTTGGTTCCTCGCAGTTTCTCCCTGGTGCTGCTGGGAGTTGTAGTTTCCAATCACTAGAGGAGGGGGTGGAGTCCACAGGATTCTGCAGAGTTCCTTTAGGACATTCGTCCCCTTAACAGAATCAGTGCATAGAGGCGCAGATGCACCTGAGCCCGTAGAGGGAGCCAAAGCATGACCCTGGTCATGAACACAAAAAAATTAGCTAGTTTTAGCCAAATCTGGGACTTTACATGCTATCTTGGGTTCAAATCCCTTGAAGAAGAGCCTGAGACGGGGGTTCCATAAGAGTGACAGATTGAGAACTGACTAGGAGAAGGGAGGGGAGGAAAGTGACGGGGCAGGACTAAGCAAGGATGTGGTCACAGGATCAGCTGGGGCTCTACAGGCGCTTGACTCCCGTGGCTGCAGAGCTGGTCCCCAACTGAGACAAGCAAGGCACCTGCCTTCCAAACCGCCCCTCACATACTTTCCCACATCCCAGTGCCCAGCTGGCGAGTCCAGTTCCCCAGAAAAGACCCAGCCTGAGTCCTTAGCAGCCAACACTTGCCATAGCTGGCCTGTGGGTGCCCTGGCCCAGGCCAGAATCTGAGTGGCACTGAAGAACGCACACCTTCTCCTGCAATAGGGAGGCAAACGATACCCTCCCTCTAGGTCAGAAGTGGCGATAACTGGCCTGCAGGCACTGGCTGGAATGTGGAAGAGCTGGGACTTGAAGCTAAGTCAACTGAGTCCAAAGACCAAAACCTTTCATCCTCACCCTCATCCCTGGAAGAGGCAGCCTCTTCCCGAGTCACATAACCAGGAAATACTGATCCCGGGCAGGGTGTGCTCTCTCTCAGCAGGAAGAGCTGGTGTCTCACTAGCCCTCCACCCCCAGAAGCTGCTGAGAGGCCAGAAGTCATGCGTGAGGGCTGGTCTCAGCCCACCCAGGCGAGTCTGGAACAAAGAAATGTCAGGCCCAGGGAGAAAAGCAATCATAGGCATGAAGGCAGCGACACAGGAGTTTTGTGGAGACTCGCAAACATTGAAAGAGTGGAGCATGTGTTTGCAAAAGAAACTTCACACCCGTAAGAACTGGTCTGAAAGTTTTCAAAAAGGGTCTTCAGACTTGGAAGCCCCATGTCCCTGGGAGCCTCTGTCTCAGCTGCAGTTCCTAACTAAAGAGGGAGTTTCAGGACAAGCGTTACCTTAACGAGCAGGTTTCTAACATGATAGAAACCTGTGTGGGGTCTACAGGGAATTCTGCAGGCCCAGTTTGATGGCGCCACTTAGGGGGCTCCAAGCATTCCTGACCCTTCAGAGAGAGGACAGCAGTGGCCGGGGCCCTGAGCATCTGGAAGCAAACGTCTTCCAGCATTGGCCTCCGATTCAGGTCCAGAGTTTTGCACATAGTAGGTGCCATCAACACCTGCAACAGGTCGGCTTGTGTTTGGTTGTGCTCATAAAATGTATTTCAAGCCGTTTTGTATGTTTGTCCTCTGAAACCTGCACTGAAACCTTTAGCAAGTGGACTGGGCCAGGCTTTGTGCCCCCGGGGGGCAGTCAATAAGGAGCCCCATTCCTGCCCTCACAGAGGTCACAGTTAGTATGGAAGTCAGATGTCAGCCAAGCATCACACAGCTAGGCAGAGGACCACAAACACCACAACTGAGAAGGACGCGGCCACACGAGAGCAAATCGCGGTGTGGGCACGGGTCCCCCCAAGTCCCTCTTCCCGTCTTGGTCAAAGCACGTTGCCAGCGGGACCTGAGCCAGAACCAGCCCCACCGCAGTGTGGCGCCAGTGCCAGGGGTCGGTGTGTTAACAAAATCACTTAAAGATTGCAAAGGGGCTCATGATAAGCCCTTAAGACATTTTGGGGGTAAGCTCTGGTTTCCTGACAGCTCCATTTCCTAGCTGATGGCGGACAGTTGAATCCCTCAGTGGACTCCCAAAACGAGCCTTCCCAGACGCTGGGTGTGGCTCCCCAGCGATTGCAGATTGACACATGCCCAGGCCCTGCAAAGCCCCCAACTGCGCCCTCATTGCGCCCCCACAGTCACGGGAGAGGTAAGGGGAGTGGCCCAGTCCCAGCACGAGCACCCTGCGGTGGCAAGGGGGGAGGGTGCAGTGCCCTGCACCAGCACTTCCACACCCACCGGGACTCTGACAGGGCCCAGGGCCCCCGGGGGCCACAGGCCTAGGCCCCCACGCCAGGCCCACAGGGTCCTGTGAGCAACAAGCACTTAGAGGGGGTTTGTTTCCCAAGCTGGAGGAAGCGGCCCAACCACCTAGCTTGGATGGCATAGCTGGGGGCAGGGGGTTGGGGGGATGAGCTCCAGGTACAGGCCTGGGGAGCTCATGCTCCCCAAGTCTTTGGCAACTATGAAATTCTTTGGCTGTCCACCCAGCACCCCAAGCAGCTACTACCCTGCAAGCACAGTGTCTTAGAAACAACTGTCTGCCATGAGGACCGCCCGGCGTGAGCGTCTGCCGTGAGGACCCTTGATCTCAGACACTGGGCCCTCAATGGAAGATCTGATTCCCGTCGGCATCTAGAACTCCGAGAGCTGGGCTCAGCGCCCTTCACCACCCAGGAGGGCCACACAGGAGCCCCTGCTTCCCTCCTTTTATGCCGCATCCACCACCCTCCCCGGCGGCATCGAAAGGCAGGAGAACCTTGCTGCCTATGTAGGTCCGTGCCAGTGGCAGCGAGAGGCAGGCGGCACCAGAGGACATATGCATCTCTACTCAGCAGGCTGGGAATTCCTCCTGTGTGCATGAGGCATGTGGCAACACCACTCAAGTTGTATCTGGGTCCAGTGATGCCCAGTGGAAACCAAGAGAGGCAGGTGTGAGGTCTACAGGGAATTCTGCAGGCCCAGTTTGACGGCGCCACTTAGGGGGCTCCAAGCATTCCTGACCCTTCAGAGAGAGGACAGCAGTGGCCGGGGCCCTGGCTCTCACCTCCCCACCCCACCCCAGGCGCCCAAGGCCAGACCCCACTCAGGGAGGAGCGGGCACCCACCTGGCTGGATGGCAGGAGCTCTGGGTTTCCGTCACTCATCCCCACGTAGCCACTGTCACCATCAAACTGGAACAGACAAAGAGAGAAGCAGCCTGAGAACCAGTGGTCAAGAAGGCCCCGGGAGAGCAGCCCGAGGGGCAGGCAGAGGCCGCCCTCAGGGGCAGGACTTTGGGACCTGGACAAGCAGAGATCAAAGTCCTCATTTCCACGGGCTGCTTCTAAGGGGGACAGCACAGCCCTGGCTCTGTGGCCCTTGAGGGTGCAGGTGGGCGGCCTTGATCACACTTAGGATGGAGAGAGGGAAGCCTTTCTGTCCCTTGCACCTCATCCATGGAGGTAGCAGGCTGCTTCTCTGGTGCTGAGCTGCCTGTCCCCGGGAGTATGCAAGTCCATCTGTTGTCCAAATGACTTGGGGGTATCAGCCAGAGCTGGGATGATGGGGGGTCGGGGGCAGTGCCTTAGGGCCAACACAGCTGGGCCCTGCACATTCGCCTCTTAGGTCACCTCCAGCCCCAGGCAGTGAGGCCCGCGGTGGACACGAACAGGAGCCCCAGCCCTGTGTTCTAAGCAGCTGCCAAGTCTGATGCAGGGAGATTCCCCACAGCCGGCGTCAGGAATTGTGGGGGCAGTGAGAGCTTGGGACACTGGCTCCCCTTGTCCCTGATCTGTGAGCCCCTTGTCCTGAGCTGGTGTCTGAGCTTCCAGCAAATGGGGGTCAAGAAGATCCCATCTCCAGGGGCCGCTGCACTGGAACTTGAACTTGGCTCAGTTCCTTGTCCCGTCCCTTCAGCTAAGTGTCTCCCACCAGCATCCCAGAAGCAGAGCCTGAGGCAGGGTTGAGCGTGTGATGTTTGAGCTGAGCTCCTGGGAATCCCTGGGAGGACCACACAAGGCCTGGCTGTGCCCAGGGGCGCTCTGGGGCCCACGGAGCTAAGTCCCAGCATAAAGCAAAGATCTGTAAGTCAGGCACTGGCCATGGACCACCTTCGGGGAACAGTGGGAGCCCTTCCCCCCGGGTAGGGTGGCCCCCGCTTGGCCAAGGCCAGTTCCCTGGAGAAGCATGCCAGCTCTGAGCCATCAGCGGTCAGTGCTCACGGCAGAGGGGAGACGGCCACGCTGGCCGTCTGTCGGGGCCGGGGGCCACCAGTGGTAGCTGGCCATTTCGTTCCCACTGAAAGTTTATTCTTATATTCACGTCTCAAAATCCCCCAAGTGCAAAAAGCAACTCGGTGCCACGTCTCCCACCCACCCGCAGCGGCTCGGCGTCCGCCAGCTCTCTCTGTTTCCGTTCTAGACCATCCACACTCATCCATTTCACAGTTGTTTCTTCCACACCAATCACAGCTCACTCGACACACTTGTTTTGCACCTTATTTTCTCTTGGCAACACATTTTGGAAGTGTTTTCGGTCAGAACATACGTGTGGACAATTCTGTCTTCCGCTGCCTAGCGTTCCACAGCATGGATGTGACAGAGATATGTAACAGGCGCTTGAGACATTGCAGGTCTTCCACTATTTCAAAGTCACCCTATGAATGTTTTTGCTCAGCCATCATTTCACGCGGGTGTGAGTCTCTGCGGATGGGTCTGTGTCATCACTGGGTCCCACTGCGTGTGCACCTGTGTCACCCAGAGACCCCATGCAGGCTGTAAACACCCCGGCCATGCACAAGATGCCAGGTCACCCAGACCCTCTTCACCCAGATCTCCACCAACTCAGATGCCAGCCTCCTCCCTCGCGGGTTCTGAGAGACCCCAACGACCCCCGCCACTCTCAAGTCCCGTGCCCTGCTCCACCTTACTCGTGGCTCCACAGCCTCTGACCTCCCAGAAGTCTATATAAATGATCTGTTTACTATGTTGATGGCTTCCCTTACAAAAATGGAGTCTCCTAGGAGTCAGGGGTCTTAGTCTGTCTGCACACTGAAGCCCCCCATATCCCCACAATAGACCCCTGCCTACACTCCACAGTGCTGGGGGCTGAGTGGGTGGATAAATGCATGGATGAAGCAACCTCTACACCATTCACATTGTCCTTGACCAAGCCAGTCTTCCCATCAGGACTGGCAGCAGGATTGGCGATTCCACCCGAGTGCTTCCCAGCACGGACAGGTAAAATCCATCCCTGACTGCTGGCTCACCAAGAGTCAAGGCCATGCCATGTCGAGAGTCTGTGCACTGACCCTAAGTGTGAGGCTCCATCTGCACCACACTGTACTCAGAACCTCTGTTTCAAGACCTCCTTCAGAGGCCACCTCCTCCAGGAAGCCTGGTATGCTTTTACCTCCTTTGGCTGTCCTTTGTAGGGTAACAATGTACCCACATCTGCCTTCTTCCCAGAGTGGGAGCAATGCAGAGGCTATAACTATGCACTGGTCACTCCCAAGTCTTCCAGCATCTGGCACAGGCTAGCATCAGTATTAAGACGATGAGTTGAGTAGCTGCAAGTTTTCAACAATAACTCCTAGGTCCCCTTTGATGTGGCCACCATGGCCATATATCACTTGGTTAGAAGTAAACCTTTGAAAAAACACCTCATTTATAAAAACTTTCTAAAGGAAAATGGTGGGAAATGGAGGGGCACTCCAAGTAGGAGGGAGACTAAGTCTGACCAGGTGTTTGGAACAGCTTACAGACTAACAATAATCAAGCGGTATGGTATAGGCTAGAATCCAGGACCCTGGAGTAAAAGGAGCAGCGGGGAAGAGATCCAAAAAAGCCCCTGTGTAAGGGCCCACTGATGAAACGCCGGCTGGAAGGGACCCCCCGGGAAGGAGGGGCCCCCGGTTCCCCGCCCAAGCCCAACACAGTCTCAGCACAGAGCTGTGGAACGAATGAGCACTGGCCCCCAGCCGGACCCTGCTTCCGCAAAGATGTTGTCTAGTCTCAACAGCCAGCGAGGCAGCTATTAGTTCCCTGTTTAAAGCAAGGAATCAAAGGCCCAGAGTCCAAGGTCACAGGGTCTGGGCCAGGCTGCATGGGGTCATGGCTGCTCCTTTCTCTTTCCTGGTCCCTCCCACAGGTTCCAAGCTCCATGCCTGGGGGGCCAAGGCTCTGCTGCTTCCCGCTATTTGTACACACTTACCCAACAGTTAGCTCTGGATCTGGTACAGCTTTCGCTAAGTGGATAGACCGAGTTGAGGCCAGGAAAGGACGGTGGGACCCCACAAGGTCCCCAGGGCATGCCTCAGGCTTATTCATGACAGCTCGCTCCTGCTTTCAAGGAGGACTGGAGAAGTTGGTGGCAGTTCCCCAGGCCTGGGGCAGCCTCTGCTCAGTCACCCCACATCCCTCCCACGCCCCTCCCTAGGCCCTAGGCAGCACTGGGCTGGGGACCTGGCTGCTGAGCAGGGTGATGGGGGGATCTGTTCTCTGTCACTTCCGCCCAGGTTTCCACCGTGTAGTGCCTCAGAGGAGAAGGTGGGAGGGAGGGGACCTGCGGGCTCCGGGGCTTCTCCGGCTGGACCCTGCCTCCTCACTAGGGCCTGTTCTGGGGAAAAGAACTTGGAAGCCAAGGGAAGAAGTCTCTAAGGCAGGTGGGCACAGGCAAAGTTGAAAACACCCACGTCTACACCCCACACAGGGAAGGCTGTGTGTACCCCACACCCCACACAGGAATGTTGAGTGTACCCCACACAGGGAATGCTTTGTACACCACCGAGCACAGTGATGGGGTATCGCCACCAACCCAGGCCATGTCACATAGTGTGACAGTGGGGTTCTGGGGGAAGGGGGAGGTGCCAGGTTCCCTGCCCCGCCCAGGGGAGGGTGGAGCTGAGCAGGGAGGAGAAGAATCTGGAGACTCAAGAGGAAGGAAGCAGGCGGGAGCCAGACGGAGACCTGAGGGGCTCATGGAGCAGAGACAGGTGAAGAAGCTTTTCTAGTTTCTGGCCCTGGCCTGGGTGGCACAGACCTGGGTGAGAGACCCGTGGGAGGTGACTGTGGCAGTGCTTATCTTGATTTTGATGTTGCTCTTTCCCTCCCAGACTGGTCTGGACCTTTCTGACCCTTCTCTGGGTCCCCACCAGAAGGTGCTTTAGACTACGTCTGGCTTTCTGGCCTTGCTTTGGGCCAATCCCTTCTGGGTGGACTTTGACCCACAAGGGGAGGGGTCACTTTGGGGATTTGATTTAGAAACTATGATTCTTTGTCTTTTCTGTATTGCACACTCACTGTATTAAAGCTCCTTTCCATTAGAAGTCTTATCTGTCTTGTCTTGATGCAGCGGATGGCTGAACCTATTTAAAGCAGGCAGGTTTGGGGGTCCTGCGGTGCCCCCCACTCCCCGCCTATCACAACAAAACCTAGCTTTCAGGACGGCAGCAGTCACAGATGTTCCCCACACACAGGTAACAACCGACACAGGCCCACGTAGCCACGGCACAAGCCCAAGTGTGCACACATCACTGACTGTGAGAGCTGCCGGACGAGGCCTCCACCCTGTGACTCACCTGCACACACACAGCCCCCAGGGCGGAGTGTGGCGCACACAGGACAAGGCACAGGACTAAAATCCTGGCCCTGCTCCTGACTTATCCACCCTTCAAAAATTGTTCTTTAGAGCATCCACCTCTGTGTGCTTTAAAATGTGAGGGGAGGGTCGGGGTCCTCCCCAGGGGCGCAGCGGGTCAAAGCACAGCACTGAGAAGCTAAAGCCACTTGCTCATGAGTTCGATTCCCGCCTGCCCCGGAGGTGACCATAAGGCGCGGCAGACCTCTCCTGGCCCGCCTGCTGCTCCCTCAGCAGTGTACTTCATCAGTCTGCCTGTTCTGCTCCCCACTCTGTCTCTGGTGAGTCCTCTCACTGCCCCTCACCTCTGGCCTGTACCCCAGTTCTGTGTGCATAAATAAATCTTTTTTAAAAAAAAAATTAAGGGGGGAATTGTAAGGGATAACAACAGCCTAAGAATTTCCACAAACCGCCAGGAGAACATCCCCTTACCACTGACTGGAATAGATTAATTTTCCCCATTTCATATTCTAATTATAATTCCTTTTCCCATCGCCATCTTCAGTCCTCATTACAGCTGGAAGATTGTTCTGCAAAAGCCAGGCCTTCATCTTCTCTTCCCAAGAGTTTTGTCATGGAAATGAGTTTCGGAATCTGAAAGAACCCACATTTCTGCAAATCTCCAATGTGTGGGGATAACCCTTTCATGGCGGCCCCAGGGACTCTGCTCAGAGACCACTAAAGCAGCTCCCTCCACCCGTGGCACCGGAGTGACGCTCTCCTTAGCAGAGGGGCCCCGGCCGCTCCTGGCTAGGCCCTTTTTCTTTTTAAAGCAAAGCCAGCAGTAGACCGCCAAGGTAAAAGGCGAGAAAACTGGTCTTAGAAAACCAGATGCGGCCACCTCAGGCGAGGCCAAGTGCTGGGCACCTCAGTTTCCTCATTCTTATGACCCGCGGGACCTCTGAGTCACACTACACGTGATCTCAGCCAGGGCCGAGAACAATTCAGTCATAATCAGTATATTATGCAGGTTGAACAAATAAATAAGTATCTGTGGGTGGATGGATGTGTAAGGAAAAGGAAGAGAAGGAGTCAAACAGAGGTGAGGGGGAGGTGGGAGGGAGGGAGGGAGGAAGTGGTGGATGGGTGGGCGGATAGGTGGGTGGGTAATTAGAATAGTGGGTGGTGGGTGGGTGGCTGGGTGGATGGATGGATGAGTGGGTGGATGGGTGAATAGGTGGGTGGGTAGGCAATTAGTATAGTGGGTGGTGGATGGGTGGGTGGCTGGGTAGCTGGGTGGGTGGAGGGATGATGATACAGATCAATGCAGCTCAACAGAGATACAATTAGGGCCATCAATGCAAGCCTCATATGTGATACTTAGTTTTCTAGTTTAAAAAGTAAGTATAAATGGGTGAGATTAATTTAATGACATTTCATTTAACCCAACAGACTCATAATTATGATTTCAACATGTAATCAATAGGAAAATTATGAATGAAATGGCTTACTATTTTTGGTACTGTCTTTGAAATCTGTTGTGCATTTGGCCTTATTGAGACCTTCCAGTTCATCTCAATTTAGACTATCCACAGTTCAAACGTCAAAAGTTACATGTGACTGGTTGCCATAATGAATAAAGTAGGAACTAGTAGGGCTAGGTGAGATGAGAAGGTGGATTGTGGGTAGGACGATGATGGGTTGGAAGGAGGGATAGAAGATGGATGGATGGATGGGTGGG